GATGAGACAAGAGACTGTTGATAAGTTCAGAAGAAGGTCCAAGTACACACACACACACACACACACACACACACACACACACACACACACACACACATTCACACACACACATACACCCACACAATATACACAGATGCTCGAGGGAACATCTTCAGTAGCCAGTGAGTTTTCTCACGGTACACACATACGCACAGACACACGAGCGGACAGATAACCCATCACGTGAGTATAGCATCACTGTACATGTGATTTTCTCTCCCAACGACACGGTGTTCATAATTTAGGAAGCGGGCTGCTTTTATAAAGTGAAAAGATCAAAAACTGATTAACTCTTTAAGGACGTTCAGCCTGGTCGTTCGGCAACGCTGAAAGACGCGCTGTTGTGCAGTGTAACTTCTTTATTCTCACAGGATTTCCAATTTAAGTTTTTTTTTCATCTGAAGAATCTGCATACTATGAAATATGCAAATTTGAGTTTCTGATTTGTGTATGATGGTTCGAACAGTAAGGCACATCATTTCCTTTGGTCTGCTGCTGATCGGACCCTGTGTCCTCTTCGTGCTTAGTGGCGTCGGTGGCCAAGTGGTTAGGCTACTGGACTCGTAATCATGAGATTGTGGGTTCGAGTGTTCGAGTCTCAGCTCGGTCCGCCATTGTGTCCTTGGGAAAAACACTTTACACGAATTTCCCACTTGGCTCGGTCCTTTCAGAGATGGACGCTAAAGTCGAAGGTCCCGCCTCTTCAATAAGCCAACAGTGTTGATAGGGGGCGTTAAACCAAAACAATTTCTCCATTTTCTTCGTGATTAAACTTTTAATGTTACCCAATGAATTTTGAAAATAAAATTATTTTCTTTCTGTTTCTTTTTGGTGTTGCAATAAATATCTTCATATAGGTCGAACTTGTTTTAACGAGCTCCCTGATAATAATAACCAGTACAAACGGCCAACTCACACCCCCCCCCCTTGTGTTTTAAAATATATAATAATGACATTGTACAAGAAGAGGACCGCCTGTCAAAATTGACCACTTTTTCTCGTCAACCATAGGTGGACGTCTTGGACAGTTTAGACTACTGTATTCACTCACTTGCATTCTTATATGAAGAAGATCATAAAATGTCCACCTGACAAAGGGACTCGGACCAAAATCAGATCCGGTCGAGTCTGAATCGAATACAACCTCCCAGCAGACAGACGGAGATACAGTCGTAATAGACTAGGACACGCCACCCTATTGTTGTTGTTGTAGTTGTTGCAGTTGTTGTTGTTGTTGTTGTTGTTATTATTATTATTGTTATAATAATAATAATAATAATAATAATAATAATAATAATAATAATTATTATTATTATTGTTATTGTTATTATTATTGTTATTATTATTATTATTGTTATTATTGTTATTATTATTATTATTATTGTTGTTGTTGTTATTGTTATTATTATTATTGTCATTATTATCATTATCATCATCATGATCATTCTTTTTCTTCTTCTTTTTCTTCTTCTTCTTCTTCTTTTTCTTTTTCTTCTTCTTCTTCTTCTTCTTCTTCTTCTTCTTCTTCTTCTTCTTCTTCTTCTTCTTCTTCTTCTTCTTCTTCTTCTTCTTCTTCTTCTTCTTCTTCTTCTTCTTCTTCTTCTTCTTCTTCTTCTTCTTCTTCTTCTTCTTCTTCTTCTTCTTCTTCTTCTTCTTCTTCTTCTTCTTCTTCTTCTTCTTCTTCTTCTTCTTCTTTAATAATTAATTTATTCATGTATGTTATTGTAAATAGGTTTCCTCTGGGGCTAAAATTTTCCATTTATTCAATCAATTGATTTGATGATCCATTCATTTATTGATTCATTTATTTCGATGCATTCATTTTTTTCAAGATTATTTTTAAAAAGTGATATCTTTTTAAAATTCATTTTTGATTTATCAACCCAACCACACAGTCTTACTACTCAAGTTCTCACCCGAATCGCACCAAACCATCCTGAGATCTCTGTGTTCATCATTGTGTGGTGGAGTCATGGGGACCTTGTCTCGCGTGATGCGTCTAATTGTCTGCATTCTCGTCACTCTTTTGGTCACTGCTAAGTCTGTGGAAGGCAAGAAAAATGTGCTGGTCTTTATAGGTAGGTGGTTTTCTGAGTTTATATTTTTATATATATTTTGTGTGTGTGAGTGAGTGAGTGTGTGTTTGTGTGTGTGTGTGAGTGAATGTGTGTGTGTGCGTGCGTGTGTCTGCGCGTGCGTGTGTGTACGTGTATGTGTATGTGTATGTGTAAATGTATGTGTATGTGTATGTGTATGTGTATGTATGAGTATGAGTGTTTATGTGTTTGGGTAACAATATACATTTATGGATAAAAAAACCCCCAAAACAATAGACATTTCATATGTGTACAAATATATACATAAATAGATTTTTTTTTCTGTTAGTCTTCGTTAGAAGTGAAACGATCCAAACAATTACAAAATAGACCAGAATATTAAGGCTTTATTTTTCGACGGAGTTGTTTGTTCGACAGATCTCGGCCTTCCGTGGGTATACACAGTGTGGCGTCGGCAAATGATGTGTCATTTCTCCTTGGCAACCCTTAAAAAAATAAAACTTTCAACACAATGTCATTATGCGTGAACTGAGTTTGAGTAAAATCTTTATGCAAAGTGTAGGAGAAAGAAGTAGTGATGTTCAAACCAGAGTTCTGTATCTCTGTCAGACGTTGTTTTCTTCGGAAAGATACTTTACACTAATATCCCATTTGGTGATGGACGTTGAAATCGGAGGTCCCGCCTCTTGAATAACCTAATATTGTTGATAGGGGCGTTAAACCTACACCATTTCACCACAGTTCTAGCGTGAATGATTTCTTGCAGTTATCTACTCCATTTTAAATTTCTGTACTGTGTCCTGTGGCAGGGTGTCGACTATTATTGTATCGATGTGCTTGTCTTTATTCAAATACAAACTCTATTTTCTGTAACTCCCCACCCCTCCCCACAACTCTCTCCCCTACCCCCTGCCTTTCCCAGGAGATGACGCTGGCTTCCTCCAGTCGGCCTACAACAACACGGTGTGTCAGACACCCAACCTGGACAAACTGGCAGCCAGGAGTCTTACCTTTACACACGGCTATACCAGTGTCAGTAGTTGCTCTCCTAGTCGGTACGTTTGTCTATAAAGGCTTTATATACGGCTATACACGTGTTAGCGGCTGTTTTCCTTGTCGGTACACGTGTCTGTCTGTCTGTCTGTCTGTCTGTCTGTCTGTCTGTCTGTCTGTCTGTCTGTCTGTCTGTCTGTCTGTCTGTCTGTCTGTCTGTCTGTCTATCATAACACGCGGCTACACAAGTGTCACCATTACCACCCTCCAATCACCACCACCATTATCACCCCCCTGCCCTCACCACTATCACTGCCTACCGCCACCATCACCACCACCACCGCCAACATTACCACATTCCCTACCAACCACTGCCACACCATTATCATCATTTTCACCACATCACCACCACCACCACCACCACAACAGCAAAAACAAAAACAACAACAACAACTACAACAACAACAACAACAACAACAACAACAACAACAACAACAACAACAACAACAACAACAACCGTTGCTGACTAGAGTGGGCGATGGAAACTCATGCTGAACGGCTCAAAGAGCGAGACTACATTCTTCACGCACGCAGCATCTGTCTCGGAATGGAAGCCAAACATCACTATCAATAATTCAACAATTAAGTATCGGCCCTATGCAAGACTCCTGGGAGTCACACTCGGCCGCAGGCTCCCGTTCAGCAAACAGGTTGAGACAGTTATAGCTAAGGCCATATAGAATATGACGATACTCGCCGCTGTCGCACACTCAAATGGGGATGGAGGAAAGACGACAAAGGCAAGGTCTACCTCACCCATTTACAAAGTGTCCTCAACTTTTCGAGCAGCAGTTATCAACCTTGGCTGAGCAAAATTCTGATAAATATTCTGGAGGTAGTTCAAAACAGATGTCTACAACTGACCACCACCCAAGCCCAGTTCTCACCGATCGAGCCACTTCGAGCTGAAACAGGGGTCCCAAGCATTGAGTTCACCTCCGATCAAGAGAGAATGCTCTGCGAATGAACCCCCGATGAATTGCGGCAACGGAACAAGATCACAGACGTTTAAAGGGACGCAGAAATTTCTGAACAAGGGCCGAAGATGCCAGCAAAATGAACTCTCATCTGTTCAACTGCGAGAAAAGGCCCATTACTTATTTCGAAATAAGGCCGCGGGGCCGGGGAATCAACCCCGACATCGTTTTTCCTCACCTGCACGGCATAAGCGGAAGGAGCGACTCCAGTATGAAGATCCGAAGCGCTGCTCTTCGTCGAGCACGAGAGCTTGGATCACAGTAAATTATCTATACTGACGGCTTGGTGAGTGCAGGAACAGCGGATTGTCTCGCTGGGGTCGTCATCACAACGGGGGACTCGTCCAGCCCGACCGTTGTTGAGACACTGAGGGAGAAAGGCGCCATATTCACCTGCTCTTTTGAGGAAGAGAGGAGAGCCTTGGAAATGGCCATTGACTGGATCGACAAACAGTGTGATGCATCCAACTCTGTCGTTGTCTTCACTGACAGTTAGTCACTATGCATGGCACTAGTGGGAACATCACCATCCCTCGACCAAATACGGCTATGTATAAATAATACAACACCTCGACCCACTATTCAGAGGATCCCTGGTCACTGAGAGATTCTCGGCAACGATCTTGCTGGCAGTAATGCCAAACTGGCAACAGCGCTGCCGGGCCCAGGCCGCCAAATTGCATATGAAAGTGCGTGCGCCCAGATAAAATTGATCACGAAAGACCCTCCGATATCCCACACGCGGCAGAAGGAAATATACAGGACAATTTCCTTAAAACGGGAGGCTCAAATTAAGTCCCGCAGCGACCAGGCACTACTGTCAAAAATCAGGACCTGTCACTTCTCTGGGCTGCTGGCCTACAAAAATAGAATAGACAAAACATCGGACCCAATCCGTCTATTGTGTAGCGAGGAGCTCCACGATTTTGAGCACTGGCTGCAGAGATGCCCCGCCACGGAGGTCCGGCGGTGGCATTTCTTTGGGGAGGATTCAGGGAGGTTGAACTGCCTCACCCGCTACCCAAGAAAGGCGGTGGCTCTGGCGAAGAGCACGCTCTTCGGGGCTCTAAACATTTCGAACGGATAGGCTACCACACCTACACACACCGCAACAGCAACAATGTCA